GCTGAAAATATTGCAAGTAACTGCTCCACCAGTGGCTGAATGCACGGATTGCTGAGTATTAATCCACAACATCAGGAACTGGCCAGTCACTTGTCCCCATTGGAGTCACAGTAGGAAGCTGAAATTGACCTGAGTATCCCAGCCACAACTACTATTCCAGATGACCACTTTGTCAGTGACTTGGAAGATCTGGATGGTAGATGTGGCAACAACTTGCATTTATATAGCTCCATTCATGTAGAGTAGAACTTGACACCTAGCCAGGGAAGAGAGGAGGTGACCCATCAGTCAAAGAGGAAAGTCTTCAGGTGTAATCTGAAGACGGATAAGGAGGGGGCATGGCAGGGCAATTGAGGCTGGGCCTCAGTGGCTGAAAACCCAGCCACCGATTGTGGAGCAGAGGGGACAAGGGACATGGAGAAGGCAATGAGATATGGCTACATGGCCCATCAGAGTGGAATTATTGATATTATTGCAGACAATTTACTTTCTCTATTCCTCCCCCTTCCCCCCCCATACCCCATTAAATACTGTATATTTACAATAACTTAACTATTGTGCAAACACACAGCCAGTGTGCAACATGAACTGGTGCTTCCATGCATGGCAGAATGTTTTCGGGCACACAAAAACAATCGTTCATTGTGCAGCAATGGAGTCAAATACAGGTAGATCTTATTTTTTCACAGGAAAGGTTCCTCTTGTGCTTCATTAATAGTGTAGGATTTCATATTGTGATCGTCATCTTTACAAATGAGCCAATGTGACTTAAATCATGCTTGAGTATCTGCTGTTAACAGCTTTGGATAGCCAGGAGACCAGGCAGATTCCCACAGGCAGGACAAAGATATGGCATTGCCATCTGCTCTGGCATCTCAGAGGCTCTGATTGAACTTGCCTGCTTGCCTCGGTTGTTTATTCTGCGTAACTGAGAGAAAGGAAGAAAACCTTGTGGAACCGGATAAAAAGATGAAAAACGCCCATGTTATCCCATGAAAGTGGCTTGGGAGCAGCTGAATGATAAGATTCGAGGCCAAATGTTTCTCAATGTCATAACCTTTAGATTTAACATTGTGGAGAACTTTAAAAATTCTTCAATCGTATTTGGGAAGTCAGAAGGAAGGCCATAGAGGAAAAAGAAACTTGTTTCAATCTCATTCTTTCTTTTGCCCTTTGAGACGTCTTAACAATGTGACGAGGCGTTATATCAAATTATTATTAAGTAAGGATTATTATTGGGAAGAGCCAGGGTAGCTAGCTGGGTGTCATTTTCATCTGTAAGCAATCCAGTCACACGTTTGATGGGATTTAAGATGCTTTCTGCTTGAAGGGTACTATATAAATGCAAGTTGTTGTATTGTAAAGTGTTTTGAGACAGTCTCACAACTTGAAAGGCAATGTATAAATGTAATTTGTAAAGAATTTAGTAAATGATTTGGCAAACACATTTTTACAAAGCTACATGCTTTAGTACAGTACATGTAACTTACACCATGTTTGAAGTCCGAAAGATTTTCTTTGATACTATATATTTCTGTCTGATATTACAGTTTTCTATAATAATCCTTATATTTGATATAGCACCTTATCACATTGGCCTACTTCACAGGATCTACTGTAAAGTATAGAGCTGAAGATCAAATGGAGCACCATGGTTACACAGTGAATTGGCGTGTCTGAGGCGAGAAAGAACACTTTGTGGGATCTTTATTGTGTCAACATGTCTCAGTAAAGTGCTTTATGATAATTATTATCAAGTGTGGTGCCATTTTGTGCACAACAAGCTCCCAGAAACGGGAAGAATGAATTACTCTTTAAAGAAAGCGGGTCCTAAAAATTTATCTGGAGGACTGTTGGCCAGGACACTTCCCACCAATGTCTTCAGGAAAAATTCAACTGTTCGCAGAAGAGGTCAATTTAAGGAAGATTTGTATCATCCGCAACCTTTGGCCCTGAGTTTCTTGGTGTAATTGCTAGACACCTAGAGGCAAAGAGCAGAGGTGAACAAGATCAGTTACACAAGATGCACCTTACAGACATTGACAATTGGTGCAGAAACCTGAATACATTCATAATATGTGGTGCTGGTAAAAGTACATACATTTTAGTGAGTGGGTTCTGTAAAGATATTATTTACATTTTGGGAATAAGAATTATTTTGGATCACTGGGTTTTAAACTGATATCATTCACCTTACAAATAACATAGTCGCTATACTTTACCGTAAATTCTGTGAAGCGATTAGAGACATCCTCCCAGCACGAAAGGGTTGGGTATTTGTGTGACATTTCTGTCAGCAAGTGGGCTGACGCATTCACCCACAAATACAGTCACTACACTTTACAGTAAATCTTGTGAAACGCTTTGAGGTGTCCTCTTGCTGTGAAGAGCTCTATACCAAATGCAGGGACTATTTTGAGTGGAACAATTCTAGGCTTGTCAATACAAAAAAAAAAGTTATAATAATTTGATCACTCAATCCATGACTGTCTGTGGGACACTGCTGTGTGTAATTGGCTGCTATGTTTTGCCCACAAAATATACAGTCAATTCACTTTACAGCATATTCTGTGAAGCGCTTTGAGACATCTCGAATACTTGATAAGACGCTATATCAAATCCAAGGATTATTATTATTCTAGGCTTGTCAATAGTTACAAAATAAATTCAGTATGGTACATAAACTTAAGAGTTTATGTGTTTGTCCTTTTTTTTACAACCCAGAGCAAGGCCATTCTGTCCATTGGATCTCTGCTGATACTCTCAACTCCTAATACCTAAAAGAACTATCAAAATCCAATTCATTTCCTGTGTTCGGTCCCATATGTTTTCAGATAGCTCTGCACAAAAGTATTTATCCAATTCATTTTAAAATGCTATAATAAACTCAATATCAAGAACCAATTGTTCTAAATGACATGAATTCCATCAGCATTTTTAGGACCCGCTTTCTTTAAAGAGTAATTTTCGAATGTGACTTAGAATGTGGAGTCCTGTAGCTCAGTGGTTAGAGCACTCGCTTGCAAGTGAGAGATCTGAGTTCAATTCCAGGCAGAGGGCGAAACCTTGGGCAAGTTTCCTTACTCCACACAGAGCCTAATAATAATCCCTCCAAAAAAACAAAAACAATAATTAAATTGGTCATTTTCAATCTACGACTGTTTGTGGGACATTGCTGTGCGCAATTGGCTGCCGCGTTCGCCCACAAATATACAGTCAATTCACTTTACAGTGTGTTCTGTGAAGCGCTTTGGGACGTCCTCCTGACGTGAAAAGCGCTATATCAAATGCAAGGATTATTATTATTATTATATAGAATCACGCAGTCTAAGCTCCAGTGCAGGGTTGGGGGTAAGGGTTATATTGTCAGAGTAATGTCCAGTATATTCTGTGAATTGCTTGGAGATGTCTCAAAGACATGATAAGCTACTATATCAAAATGCTAGGATTATTATTAAATAGAACAGCAACAAATTACATTTGTATAGTGCCTTTCATGTCCCAAGGCACTGGACAGTCAGGGATTTGGACCCGATTAGGGTGTTGGGATCAGGAGGGGTGGAGGACAGAGAGGATGGGGTAAGAGGGTAACTGAAGGCACGGTCGAAGAGGAGGGTCTTGAAGGAGACAACAACTCTCTTCTATAAGAGCCCTTTGAGCGGGGTACAGTCCTGGAGACAAGAGAGCGGGCAAGGCGAAGGGACTGTGGGATGGAGTTCCAAAGGGTAACAATAACAATAAAGGTGGTTTGTTGTTTTAAAAGATGTTTTGTTATTAGAGTACATGGTTGTAAGACTCTCAAATGATCACAGGGGGGCGATAACATGCAACGTTTTGACCAGAGAGTGAACGCCACTTCCAATCGTTTAACTAATTAGTTCTTTACAACGAGCCACTGGTGTGAAACAAAAAAAAACCAGACAGGTTTGCAGGGAAAAACTGTGGCAAATTGTTGTGCATATTCATGCAGAACGATGGAAGTCGAATCACAGGAGGGACAAAGTGGTGATAGGCATCTGGGCTGAACTGAAATGCTGTTGAACAAGAGGCACAAAGAAGCAATGGCTGTGAAAAAAAACTTTTCTTGGGGAAGAGTTGCAAGTTTTGACCCAGAAAGTTTTGCAACAGATTTCCACGTTAAAAAAAAATCCTGTCTTCCCCCACAAGACAGATCAAAGGCATGATGTGAAGTTGAGAGTGGGTGGGAGTGGAGGGAGAGCATAATGTAAGGACAGCTACATAACTTTCCCCCTTCTAAAATTGGCAGCTTAGTCCATCCCTGATTTACTCTCTCCGCCCACTCAGTGCAATTATTTGCATGCCCCCCACACCACCCAAAAAAAAGGAAGACAAAAGTCAAAGCAGAATGTAAAGGACACACAGAGAGAGAGAGCGAGAGTGTGAAAAAAAGAAATCAATGGGCAACGAGAACCGAGATCTCACCTAAAGGAAAAAAAAAAAAACCCCAAGGACACACGTTCGGGAATGGATTGCGACTGGAGCAATGGGTCAGTTTCACAAGTTGAGCAACTGCGAGAAAAGTTGGAGCTGAACTTTTGTTGTTGGCAGAGTTTTCTTTCAGTGAGTTGAGCCTGCATGGATGGGAATCGAGAGAGGAGGGAGGGGGATTAAAAAAAAAAGTATTGCAAGGGGTGGGGGGTGTTTCAAGAAAGCCTGTTCCTTTCTCGTTAGGATTATTGTTCTTTTCTTTTAACTTGTCTGATCGTTTATTAACTTGGAAACTGGAGCTGGGGGGGAGGGAGTGAGACAAGGGGAGAGAGATCAACAAAAAGTTTTGTCCATTCCCCTACTCCCTCAATTCTTATCCTTAAAAAAACTCCCCCCCCCCCCCACACACACACACAGGGACAGAAAGAAATGTGTTTGTCCTTTTTTTTTGCAAAGAGCATTTTGTGCAACGTTTGTGGGAGTGAATGTGAAAGAGAGTGAAAGACACAGACAGAGAGAGAGAGAGAGAGAGAGAGAGAAAGAAAGAAGAGAGAAAGAGGGAGAGGGGGGACCTGGAAAGGAAAGGGTAGAGAGAAAGGGAAATAAGTCAGGAGCGATGGCGGAAAAAGATCCAGGGAGGAAAATCAGTGTTTATAGAAGTGTTTCGTTTAAATATCATCTGAGTGAGTGGAGAGGTGGCAGCCTAGCGGATGAGAATCAGTCCAAAAAGTCCAAAGTCTTGATCAGTTCAGCCCAGACGCAGGACACTTTGTCTCCCAGCTCTGATGCTTGTGGTGGTGGTGACGCTGGTGTTGGTGGTGGTGGTGGTGGAGGAGGAGAGAAGAGCCTGCAATCGCACAGCAGCAGATCTGTGAGCAAAATCCGTTCGGTTTGCAGGTTGGTGTCTGCCAAGGCTTCCAGCCCAGAAGGCAAAAGGAGCCACCAGATCTCGCCATCCATTCGCCAACGCTCCGAGCTCTTCAGCGCTGGGCAAGGCTGGGCTCCTGCCCAACAACAACAACAACAGCCACAAGCCTCCAGACCCTCGCCAGCAATACCCAGCAGCAAATCTGGAGAAAGGGAGCAACAGCAATCGGGTAAACCCGAGCCCTCGCCAGCCCTGATTGACCCGTCATCCACCCAGGTTCCAGATCTCACACCTGGGGTACAGATGGACAACTTTGTCCCGGCCGCTGGAACGCTGATCAGCTTTGACCACGAGCAGCAAGGTTACGGTGGGGGTCTCTCCGGCCTGTCCTGTCTGGACTCTCCTCAACCAGCCCTGGCCGAGCAGGGCAGAATCTTCCTCCAGAATCCCCCCGAACCTGCCCAATGGCCCAGTGTCCCTGAGATGCTCAAGCGTTTTGGTGAGAGCGGTTTCAGGAGATCCCATTCGCACTCGACCTCCGAGATCTGGGACCTCACCCCCTCCCCAGAAGTCCTCGGCCAGGGCCAGGGTGGGTGGTGGGTGTGTGAGGCGCCTGGGGTTAGATGCATCCAGCAACAGGAGGAGGCAATGGACCAAAGCCCTGGCTGCAAGCCCTCGCCCCCTTGGTCCAGGGCTCCGACTGCTGACGTCCTTTATTCTTGGGTCAGCAGTGAGGAAAAGAGTCTCAGTTGTAGCCCTGGTACCAGGCAGCAGTCCCCACCTCCACCTCCACCAACCCCACCACCTCGGAGCTCCTTGCCATCAGAGCAGAGATCGCTTTGGCTCTCGCCAGCTCTGCACAAACAAGAGGCAAGGCAGGAATCGGATAGTTTACATTCCTTGCATAACTGCTTCCTACCACAGACTGCCCCCACCACCACTGCTGCTGCTACTACAAGCAGTAGTACTGGGTTTCAAGCGAGCTCTAGCGACGGGGAGAAGGAATACGCCACAGACCGGCAGAGGCAGGCACAGTGCAGAGTTCCTGGCAAGGTCAGGTCTCCCGAGCGGTCCTCAGAGAGCGAGGGGGATTGTCCCGTGGCCCCAAGGGATGTCAGGAGGAGATCGCTTCGCAAGAAAAAATCCAGCCTGGCTCTGGGCAGTCAGGGTGAGTCAGACAGTGATGTGCCCTCGGGGGACTGTCTGCTGAGGCATGAAGGAGGGCACGGACACTCCTGCAAAAGTGATGGGGATTTGAAGTTGTGGCGGCAAGTTTCTGAACCGAGCTCCTCGGCACCGGATTACGACGCCCCGTGTCCCTTTGCCACGCTTCCCCGTGAAAGAAAGCACAGCCCCTCAGCAGCCGGCCAGAGCAGCAAAGTTCATCAGAGCCATAAAAGGCCTGTGAGGCTGGTCGGGGAGAGTGGAACAGCCGCAACTGTGAACCAGCCTCGCAGCACTGCGGGCTCACCCATACCCCTGGTCTCCAGAGTGGCGAAGGTCAACATCCAGTCTTTCTCCAGAGCCCCAACAGCTCCCGGAGCAGCAGCAGGTATTCCAGCACCGAGACGCTGAAGGAGGAAGATCACTTCGGCTCTGGCTGCCCCGGATTAAGCAGGAGCTGCCAGGGGAGCTTGAACATGCACCGGTCTCCGAGCTTCGGTCGCGGCGACGAGACGGCCAAACACCTGCAGCCGTCAGTCCGCACTCGGCCCAGGCTGCCCTTCGGTATCGTCAAGGTAAGGACCGAAGGGTCATCGGGGAACACCAGCCCCCAGCACCAGTGTCGACCCGAGAAATCTAAGTACAGGAAGTCGATGTCCAACCCCGACATAGCCATGGAGACACTGACGCTGCTCAGTTTCCTTAAGTCGGACTTTTCGGGGCTGCGTTTGAGGAAGGAGAGAGAGGAGTGCGATCGTGATGGGGTTAATCACACAGGGGCTGCTGCCGATGGCTGCCAAGCTAAGGAACGGCAGCGAGGGTTGGGGGCGGTGGGGAAAGGCAGGGGGTCGCTGTTCGCTCTAAACCAGGCAGCGGCCGGACGCCCGACTCTCAAGGAGCTCACGGCCACCCTGCGGCGAGCTCGGTCCTTCACGTGTCCCGACAAGCCCTGGGGGCGGCGGGCGGTGTCGCGCACTGCCATCAAACCCAGCAGCTCGGAGCTGGCCCTCGCCAGCCTGGGGAACTGTGACTCGGCCTCGCCGGGCGGGAGAGGGCGAGGGGAGGAGCTGACCGTGGACATGAAGGTGAGGAACATCGAGGAAGCCGGGCTACTGTTCGCGAAGATCAACAGGATGTGGTCACAGAAAGGCTCTGCTGACCCCCAAGGCGGGGAGCGTAGGGGGAGCACGGAGGACGTGGAGGAGTTGCCTAAAGACCTCGTTGCCGAGGTTCCGTCCAAAGAGGCGGCGGACGAAGATGAGAAGGTGAGGAAGGGGGAGTCGGAGGACAATCTGTCCGGAGGAAAGTCAGCCGACGACTTGTCGGGTCCAGAGTCCAGCATGACGGACGAGGGCATCGTGACCGAGCCCGAGACGGGATCCAGCAGCACCTTGTACAAGGAGATTCCCGATCAGACGCTCGTGCAGAAGCCGGCAGAGAGCGTTAACAAGGAGGATCAGAGAGAACTGCGAGCTGGCAAAGCTCTGGCCCCTGGCACTCTGGCGGCGGTGAGGACTGGCTACGAGAGCGTTGCGATAGGCGGGGACTTGCCGTACACTAAAACTGCTGTCCCGGTCACTCTGGAGCCACCTCTGACTCCCAGTTCTGTCCGACGCAGGAGGAAATTTCCTCCCAGTGGGAGCAATGGCTCGGACTCCAGCAATGGCAGCAACGGGGAGCTGAGTGGCGAAACTCAGCGTTCTCTGAGCGACCCAATGCCTCAACGTCGCTGCTCCACCTCCGAAGAGGCCGAGAGTTTCTCCGTGGACAGCAACCTGCTGGGCTCGCTGAACTCCGTCAAGGGGGGCGGGATGCTGGAGGGTTCGGCCACCGCCTTGTCCGAGTGTACGGGGAGCGCAGCCAGCGACCTGTCGGTCTGCAGTGACGCTCTCAGGGACTACAACACTGTGATCCAGAGCATAGTCAGGGAACCGGGGACCATGGACAAAGTGATTGACGACAAAGGCAATGGCAAGCTGCTGAAGAAGAAATCGCTGAGCGACCCGAGCCGCAGAGGGGAGCTGAACACCCCAGAGTTCAAGGGTCCCGGGGAGCCCATCAACGAGATGGAGCAGCCTATCCCCGCCTCCAGCAGCGAACCCATCCTCTCGGAGCAGAGGGACGAGGCGGGCGAGCTCGAGGAGTTCTCCAAACCCTCTCGGAAGCCGCGCTCAAAGTCGGAACGCACCCTGCCCCTGCAGGTCATCGAGGAGCAGGACAAGGCTAACCTACAGACCTTCAGCCTGGACCCCAAGCTGACCGAGGTCCTCTCTCCCAGGTCCATGAGGCGCAGCTCCAAGAAGCGCAACAACCGGGTCACGCAGCAGGAGGGTAGGAAGTATGAAGTGCCGGTGAGGTGGACCAGTCTCCACCTGCCAAAACAAGGCTGTCACCCAAACACATCAGGCACACCAGCGAGCCTACCAGCTTCATCCCTGTCGCATCCAAAGTCGTCGCTCCCGAGACCCACCTGCGTTGCAGCCAGCCGGTTCACATAACAGCGCCCGAGCCCTCCAGGCACTCTCGGAAGCAGTGCCCGCTGGCCCAGACGCCGTCCTTGGAAGACGTGACCAAGCAGTACATCCTGAAAGGGGAGTCGTCTGTTCTGCCCACCATGGATTTGCCTGTGTCGCCCACTGGTACTGAACCTCGTGTCCCTTCTCTGTCCAAGCCACACGAGGAACTGGGTCCAAGCGTCAACAAAGCGAAGCCTCAAGTGGTAAGTGAATCTCATTCCCAAGTGTCTTGTGGTGAGCTTTGCTTCAGATTTTTTTCTTTATTGGTTTGTTTAGAGCTGTTGAGTTGAGCTCTGTTCACTCGCTTTTCCTTGTGTGCTTAATTTTGACGCATCTGCGCAAAGTTAAAATATCCGATCGTCTGAGTCTTATTATTAGGCAGAACATTAGATCGTTTAAGTGCTACTTTTATTTCGAGTCCGATCCTTGCACTTGAAATGGAATTGTCTGCTGTTTTTTGTGCAGTAGAGGAGGACAGTGAACTTTTTTCCCCAGCCAAAGCGTGACCCCTTAATGTACTGTAGAAGCTCGGTTTTAATAGGATGTTTTGAATCCAGCAAACATTTTGGCTTGTCGGGCTACGCACTAAAATCCATTTGCTATACAAGGAAATGCGGCGCAGTTAAAAGGGGTATCAAAATGTTATTGGCACAAATAGAGAACAGTTTTATTATATTATATATATATATACATAAAAAAAACTGTGTTGATGTTTAAAATTCCAAGCCTGGTTTGTCAGGGCTGTGTGTGTGAGTGAGAGTGAATGTGAATGTAATACCTCGGTTGAGTCAAGTCAGTAAAATGTTAACATAGGAATTGCAAGGCGAAAGAAAACCAAGGTCCATCTAGTTCACCTTCTACCAGCCTGGGGGTGGCTTGCACATGTCGTGTCCCAGACTGTACACTGTATTAACAAGATCTTTTGAATCGCTAATTTGCCTGTGTGGTGTGTGAAACACCGGCTTCTTAAATCAGCCCCAAACACGGCACTTGCTGCCAGCCTGTGACTTCTGTCTGAACTTGACTTGTTCAGTCATTGATTCCTGGAGAATCAGCGTCACAGGAAGCATTGATTTACTGGGATTTGAGAGCGACACGTTGGGGGTGAGATGGACCCGATTCAGGGATGAAGGGGGGATGAGAGGGACGCCGTGGGGTTGGGGGTGAGAGTGACCTGGGGTGGGTGGAGATCGTGAGGTTTAGTTAAGATGTGAATTACATGGTGCAGGTGCTGTGTAAAGAATGAAGTGAGGCTGCAGTGTGTCCTGGGGTTAGAACTGCATAGTTGGGAAATGTGGATTTTCCATTGAAACTCAGTCTAAGAGGCTGACTTTTCTTGGCATCCTGTGTTTGCACATGTTGTGGAACTCTGTTCAGTTTGAATACTCTCGGCAGATTTCATATCATAATAATCCTTGCAATTGATATAGCGCCTCATCACGTCATTGAGACGTCTCAAAGCGCTTCACAGAATATACTGTAAAGTGAATTGATTGTGTATTTTGTGCGCGAAATGCGGCAGCCAATTGCTCACAGCAGTGTCCCACAAGCATTGAGTGACCAAATTCTTATTTTTTTAAATGTTTTTTTTTTGGCAGGGATTATTAGCCCTGACAGTCGACTAACAACCGGGTTCCTACTTACTGCTAGTCAAACAGAGGCAGGGAGCAAGGACACTTGCCTAAGATTTCGCTCCACCCAGGAATCGAACCCGGGTCCTCTTGCTTGCAAGGCGAGTGCTCTAATCAATACGCTACCAGTAGCATCCAAGTATACATGTGTCAGACACCCGGACAGCAAAAAAAAATTGTTTGTACGTAGTTCTTAGATATCTGGATGTGAAATTAAACCCTGCTGCATTCAGTGGGGCAATTCCCTAATTATTTTGTTCCATTGTCTAGTTTCCATTTCTTTTTCCCCCACCTTTCCTCATGGTGCTGAGGGTGTGAGCATTGTTGGAGGTGCCGTCCTTCAGATGAGACGTTAAAACCAAAGTCCTGTCTGCCTGCATGGGGGGACGTTAAAGATCCCATAGAACTATTCAAAAACGAGAATAGTTCTCCCTGTGTCCTGGCCAACAATCCCCCAAATGAAATCGGTTGCTCACTTCATGGCTGGTTGTGGGACATTGCTGTGCACAAAGATTAGCTGTCGCATTTGCCTACAAAAAGTGCACAACCATTGCACTTCATAGTGAACCTATGAAGCACTTGAGGCTTCCTTCCCAGAGTGAAAAGCGCTATATTCCAATGCAAGGATTGTTACCGTGATTGTTGTTATAGAATCTCATGTTGGTAGATTTGCGTAAAAGCAGAGGATAAAATAAATGCATTCAGCGGAGCAAGAAAACCCTTGGGAATCCTGAGCTTTAGGAACAAGAGGCTGGAGAATTACCCGGGTCGGGAAGGAAACAAAACATTGGTACCTAATGTGTGTGTGTGTGTGTATATATATTATATATATGATTATTAATCCAATATAAACAGGAAATAGCAGGAGACAGCTGCCCCACTTCTGTTTACAAAATGTGTGAATGAACCAGTTGCATTTTAATCGGTTACCAGTGTCTGCAAGTGGTACCATTGACAGTGCTGCGATGTGACTGCTGGATGGGGGTCTTTAAAACCTTTCTCTCCGGCTGTGCCTTTGGTCACCTCCCCCTTCCCCCCTCCTCTGCTTTGCTCGGTGTCCTGCCATTGTAAAGTATACTGCGACATTGCCCTAACTGATGTGCGCTCTATAACTGCTCGTTGTTCTTGTTGTCTCTTTCGTGCTTTGTTAAAGAGAAGGTTCTTCATTTTAATTTAGTTGCGAAGGAGAGCCCACTTTTATTGTCCCTTCCCCTCCCCCCCTCTCCTCCAAAGAAAGACGATAAATTCTTGTGTTCTTCATTCGAGAACATTGAGTTTTAAATCTGCTTCAGAGGGAGTTTGGACAGGGTCGACTCTTGGAGTCGCGGACCTGACGGTGCTGAAGGATTTGTGCTCCTCGTTTTCTCGTACATAATGTGCTGAACCGCGGTCGAAGATGCTATCCTGCGCGGAGGCGCTACATAAATGCAAGGTGGTGGTGTTGCTGTGTGTGCAACCAAATTCCAATAGCGCCTTTAACCTCCGTCGAGTTGCTTTTGTTTTTCAGGGTTTTTTTAAAAAAAATTATATAGCGCCCTTCACACATATAGCGCGTCCTGGAGAGTTTAAAGCATTGTAAGCGCTAATTTAAGGATAACTAAAGCGCTAAGTACCAATTCATTTTACAGTATACTGCACGAAGCGCTTTGAGACGTCTCAACGACGTGCTCAGGCTCTATATCAAATGCAGGGATTATTATGATTTTGCCTTGCATCTTTTTTTAAAAAAAAGACATTTCTGAAGGTTCTGGGAAGTGATTTGCCAACCCAGCCAGTTTCCATGGTAACCACAAGGAAAGCGTGCACTACAAACCCCAATAAATATAGAACACACCTCACGGAGCGCTGGGTTACGGGAACCTCCCAATAACCGCACAATTTCCTTTGCACCAGGTTAATCGTTAGAGACTTCTATTTTTTTTAGCAATCTTTTCTCACTGCTGTTAATCCATTGCATAGATTTATAAAAGCACTTAATAATAATATTCCTTATTTTATATCATGCCGTTGAGACGTCTCAAAGCACTTCACAGAATATATTATAAAGTGAATTGACTGTATAGTTTATGGGCGAAACACGGCAGCCAATTGTGCACAGCAGTGTCCCACAAACAGTCGTGGATTGAGTGACCATTTTTTTTTGGAGGGATTAATACGCCCGGAAAACAATCTGCCAATCTACTAACAACCAGGTTCTTACTTACTGCTAGGTAAACAATTATTTGAAAAGAGCTATCCAATTCAATCCCTCTCCTCATAGCCCTGCAAACTCATACTCCCCATATATCTATCTACTTCTCTCTTAAAAGTTGTTATCGAATCGGCTTCCACCACCCTTTCAGGCACTTCTATTGAAGGTTCAATTACCTCACCCAAATGACCATTCTTTATATGTGAGACTTGGCAAAGCCTCAGCGGTTATTCAATACACAATAGTTAGGGTTGGGAGAGGGAAGGTTCTAGGTATATAATAGAGGAAGGTCTGATCTGCTCCTCAGTACATGGAGGAAGTGTTTGAATCGCTGGTCAGTAAAGAGGAGTGGGAACCTTGGGGATATTTCCCCTCTCTGGACACTGATGGCAATTGCAAGCCAAGACTTCATCTGACCCAGCATCGAGTAACCAACAACCTGGGATTGAAGAATTATCGTCCTTGCCTTGATCTAGCGCTGTTCATGTTGGGAGGATAGCTCAAAGAGCTTCATAGGATTTTATTGTAAAGTTTAGTGTTGTGATTGCCGCCCGTGTCCTCACCTGTACCAGCCTTCTCACTCCGTCACCCCAATTCTTGCCAGGCTCCAGTGACTCCCTGTCGATTTCAAGATCCTCACTTTTATACCTCTTCACGTCCTGGCACCTCCCTACCTCTCCAATCTGTTCACACTCCACTCCTCTACTCAACATCTTAAGTCACCTGGCACGTGTCTACTGCATGTCTCTCCTTCCCTCTGCTCCACAATTGGTGGTCGTGTTTTCCACCGCTATGCTCCAAAACTCTGGAACTCCCTGTCTCAATCACTCTGGTTTGCCCCATCTCCACCAGTCTTCAACTCACACTTGAAGGGGCACTACTTAGGTGAGGAAGCCCCAGTTAGAAGTAACTTATTCCCAGATCATCCAAACCATGGCATTGTTCTAATTGGTGACTGTAGGTTACCCTTGAACTTGCAACTTTCCAATAAATGTGATGAAACAAATGCTGCCATTTCATATTTATTTGCTGTGTTGTCCAAGTTAATCTAGTGAATTGGCAGGAAAAGTTATCAATGCACTAATGCAATTAGGCAGGTTCCCTGACAGCTTAATGAATTTACCAGTGAACATCTATGGATATAGACTGGGAAGGTCATAGGTTCGATCTCTTGGCTATGACGAGTTAGCTGATCTCAGCACTAGTAGTGCTAAACAAAGCACAAAATACTGCAGATGCTGGAAATCTGAAACAAAAATCTCTAACATCTTAGTGCTATGTTTGTCCTCGGTATCCTGAGTTAAGATGATGAAACTCGCTATGATTCCCAATTCTGAGCGTTGTAATTCTGGTCGGCGATACCAGTAGTGCCTTTGGCAGA